TCGGCCCAAAAATGACGAGCTGTAACGAACATCCACATATTGGTGTAGACGGCTTTGGTCCATTTGGTCTTCATATTGATTACCATCCGCTTCAATAGTATTGATCGGACAGTTCAATCACGGCTGCAAACGGCATGCGCGCACCGAGTACCATCCCGCAGTATCCATCCCACGCCCCTGCTCCCACAAAGAGGACCAAAAAACGTCGTCCCGGATAAGACACCTCCCTGCCGCTGCTGCGGTGGGTAGCCGTAGGGTGTATCAAGGAGAATGACGAATCTATGGAGCGGGCACTGTCTCACCATGCTACCATCGGCTGCGGGCACCACATATCCGGATATGGAGACTGGATACCTTTCTACCCCAAAATGGATTTACTGTTCTGGATACCCACTCCAGTAAGCGCTCACTGGAGCTGGCACTGCTCGAGTTCTGCATGCTTGCATGCTGCAGTACATTCGAGACATCAATCTGCCCTCTCTATAAGGTATGAGACCTGTTTCTTCCTCCACGACGCATAAACACTCTACTGACGGACACTACAAACCCTAGTGAACGCAGACCCGTCGTGTCCATACTCCTTCCATCGCCAATCGACCGTTGCACTTTCTTCCCCCACAACACCCATTTTCCCACGCTCAATCATCCACCCTCTCTGGCAATGCCTCAAACAAGCGGACGTGCTAGCCAAAAGACGACCAGGCCCGCCATTCCCCTCGAACTTTTCCGTCCGGTCGTGAGAGGCTCCCACCCCGTCGACGGACGCAAAATCCGTTGCTTGAGTAAACAACTCTCCTACATTGTCACGGTGGATGACCTGATGTGGGGGGAAGCCGGTTGGAGATATCATCGAAGCCCGGAAAAGTGCTTCCTTTGGGCAGCACGTCGTGGGCACGTGAATGTGGCCCGTGTTTTATTGGACAATGGGGTGGACGTGCACCTTGGTCGCGGTGCTGCTGGTGCGGTAGGAGGCGATGTGGATGCGGCGTCGTTTGATGATGATGATGATGATGATGATGATGATGATGATGATGATGATGATGATGATGATGACGAGGATGATGATGATGATGATGATGACGAGGATGATGATGATGATGAGGATGTGGACGCGGTGATGCTAAACATCGGCGCATTGGCACTGTCTTCCGCTGCAAAAGGAGGACACCTTCAAATGGTCCGTTTCTTGCTGGAGTCTGGGGTGGACCCACGTGCCACCAACGGTGCTCCCTTGTTTTCGGCTGCATCAAGAGGTGACTCTGAAATGACCCAAATGTTGTTGGAAGCTGGGGCGGACGTACATGCCCGCAACGACACAGCCTTGTGTGTTGCGGCTACAAACGGGCACCTGGAGACACTTCAGTTGCTACTGAAGTCTGGTGCGGACGTACATGCCCGCAACGACACAGCCTTGCGTGTTGCGGCTGCAGGCGGGCCCCTGGAGACACTTCAGTTGCTACTGAAGTCTGGTGCGGACGTGCATGCCGGCAACGACGAAGCCTTGCGTTTGGCGGCAATTCGAGGGCACCTGGAGACAGTTCAGTTGCTGTTGAAGTCTGGTGCGGACGTGCATGCCGGCAACGACGAAGCCTTGCGTTTGGCGGCTACAAACGGGCACCTGGAAATTGTTCGTTTATTGTTGGAATCTGGTGCACATCCGGTGAAGGGCTACCGTGATATAGCCTTGGTGGGTGCCGCAGGTCGCGGACACCTGGAAATTCTACGTTTGCTGTTGGAAATGGTTCGTCTCTCGCTGGACTCTGGTGCGGACGCTCATGCCGCCCATGATGCAGCTTTGGGTTCGGCGGCCCTCAACCGTCTTTTGCGTGTTGCGGCTGAACAAGGGCACTCGGAAGTGGTCCGTCTTCTGGAGGACAGCGGCGCACGTGCATAACAACGTTGGCGACCGCTGGCGGGCAAGAACGGGCGCCTGGAAACGGGACGGGACGTTGGGTGTAAAATCTGAGGGGAAGGAAGCTTCGAATAGCCGCGCTAATGTCAGGCATAAACGAAAAATTTTTATAAAAGAAGCATAGCAAATTGTAATTTCAAAATATACAAGTGATTTTCACCCCGCACCGAACACAGTGGTACAACAACTGCAAGGGATACCTACTCAACAAGCGGATGGGTTCAAGAAGGCAGGCGGTCTCATCACGAACCAGTACAAATTCCCCGTTGACTACCATTTTTTTTCGTATCTCGTTTGGAATCGTACTTTCGATCAGGCAAAAAATGAAAAAAATGCGATCGACGGCAACATTGGTTTCAGACGGTTTCGGTCCATCCGGAATCCGAACATTCATTCACTCTCACTCCAAGCGTCTTAGTCCTTTACCTCCCTCCAAACAGTCCGGTCATGTTAGGAAACGACGTCCTTACACTGCATATACCAACGTAATAATCGGACGGGTTAAGAAGGCATGCCACGGCCTCACCTCAACCAATACTGCCCAATCATCTCGTCTTTTTTTCGTATTTGGTTTGAGAATCATACGTGCGGGCCAACATGGGTACAGCGCTCAACACCACATTGGGGCAGAGGGGTTCGGTCCGTCCGGTATCCGACTTTCATTCCGTCCATTTCGGTCAAAAAGTTCAATCATGATTGCGGATGACATCCGTGCAGTCTACGTGCCAGCCAAAAAAAAGGAAAATGTACTCGCTGGACGCTACATTGATGTAGACGGGTTGTGTTCGTCCGGTATCCATATTCATTCCGTCCGATTTGGGAGTCTTATCCCCTTCCCTTCAGAGAGTTTAACCAGCTTTGTGAACAACATGCGTACACTCGCTACCATCCCACAGCATCCACACCACGGGTCTCCTTACTCAAAAACCACCAAAAAAATCGTTGCCATCCTCGTTGGAAATCACGGAGCGCAGAACATGGGCTGTTAAGCGCTCCATTAGGTTCGAAGCCAAACAGAGACAATGATCCAACAAAACTCCACCTACATTTCCTCACTTCAATTGGCGGATAGGCAATCCCGCAAGAGGGCAACCGTACCTTTTTTTATATCCACTTGCACGTAACAAACAAACAGAAAAAAACCAAGTTTTGAATTTAATAGAATTGACGTTTCGGACCTAGTTTACAGAGCCGTTGACACCGCCATTCTCTTACGCTCATCTAGAGGGTTATGTACCTCAGTGACAGAATAGAAGTCTGGTTGGCCACGCCCAGAAAAAATTGTCCAGCACACAATGCCCCCAATTGCCGAATGAGGGACTGACCCCACATTCTGTGCCCGGAACTTGAGAACTTGTGACAAACCACCTGTGCCATTTTGGTCTTCTGAACGCTCGCGAGGTGAACTGTTTTTGTCAATCTACTGTACCTTCACAGGGACGAACAAAAAGGATGAGGTACGGGGAACTTCTGTGTACTTTGAAAGTTCCCCACACTCCGCCACCGTCAGGGGCGAAACAAGGGACCGGCAACGCCATCGTAGTTTGGGCGGTTTGCTTGCAAAGTATCACATCGCCCTTCCCGTGGCGGTTCACTGTCCCGTCAACCTTCGTCTTGGGCACCCCTACCGAGGAGACGTTGAAATGGGCGGTGTGGAGGTTCGAAGTACGCGTCGCCCGAAAAAAAGGGGAAATTGGGGATTCCGTTGGATGCCCGTCGGAGAACGTCCTCGATCCACCGCGAGGTGGTAGAATACTGCCCGTTGGATGGTATGCGAAACAGCAGCAGTACTATACCTTACTACACTCTTCACCGAAAATACCGGTGGGGACCAGAAAAAAAGGCGGTAGTAGTCGTAACGCACCTACGCGGCTTTTCAAGGTGCGTGAAACCTTGAAACGCGCAGTCGAGTCGTCCCAAACGGGAACGTCTGGTGTCTGAGGAAGGAAATCATGGTGAGAAGATGCAGAAAGTAGCTGGAGGTCCGGCTTGCCATGCTTTCCACTCCCCGGTAAACTGGAGGACCGAAAAAAGTGGCCGGGAAACCCAAGAAGGTGTCGAAAAGACCTCGCTAACAATCTTTTGACCCACACGCGTTTTTTCGGCACTTTTGCTAGGTTGGTGGTGGTGCTACCTTTTTCACGGATTGGTAGCGGACCCTGAGTCTGAACGGAAAAAAAAAACATAGAGGACAACACAGTATGGTCAAACGCACTCGTCCGCATGACCGGCCCGATTTCGAAGGGGGCGTTTCTTATGTCCGTGCGAATGCGGTACCTGTCCGGATATCCCAGAAACACAGCGAGAAGGGAACTAAAACATCCGACGGCACTTTCTGATGCGTAAAATGGAGCACTCGCCTCTCTAAAACCTCAAATGGAAAAAAACCCCCCTGGAAATCAGTTCAATGCAGACATGAGGGAGGAGCCAAAACCCTCATTTGCCCACAGCGTATCTTCTAACCGAATCCCCGTTCAAGCTGAGTGCGTCTGTAACCTACGTTCGTTTCGGTTCCTCCACAATCACGCTGGAAAAAAAGGGTGCTCAACCTCAAGGGTGATGGAGGTGGGGAAGGCGTCGACGCCGCGCCGTGTCCACATTGTAACTTTGTCCCAAAACATGTCCACCTTTGTCCCCATCACATACCGCACCCCGCGAATTCAAACAATGCGCTAAACCCTTCCGTTCGGCTTATGTTTAGTTAATGTGCTGTTTGGCGTCCCGTTGTTTACATAACGGTCGAAAACGACATTGGATACCCACGTCCCGCAGTGCAGTCGCGACCGGGATCCGTTCGAAGATTACTGTTGTGTCCCGGTTTTGGTTTTGAATGCTCGCAAGGGGAACTGGTTTCGTCAATGTACTGTACCTTCACAGGATTGAATCCTGTCCGAATCCATATTCCAGCGCAGACCGTGCAGGCTGTGCAGGCTGAACGTACGAACGTACAACCAAACTGCCAAAAAGCGAGTCCGGCTCACATTGACCCAATTTGCTGTCAGAGAGCCAAAAAAAAACTTAAAAGGGAATTTAACAACCAGTTGGTGCAGGATATCTGCACAACCGACAGTTTTTGCGCTGGACGGATTCCGGCCTTCCGGAGTCGAACCGGAGACCCTCAGATTACACGTTCGGAAAGTCGGAAACTTTCCTCCACTACAGTCTGATGCTCTACCAACTAAGCTAAGGCCGGGATGGATGAAAAATATACGGGTATGGACAGCGTGATGTAGGGGAGGACTGCGCAGTTCGGTTGGGTGATGGTGCGGGATAGTGCTTTTCGTGATGGGTTAGAACTAAGGTGAGGTATCCGGCGCATTTTTGATTCGGATTGGTTTTGTGTGTGGACAAATGGAAAGTACGAAAGGAAGTGGTGGTAGGGCTGCAATTTGTTAATGCGGTGTTTTGCTGCATCCAGAAAATTGTAGATTTTGTCTTCGACAAATTTTTTTTGGGCAGGTTTTGTTCGCTTCGCTGCCAAAACACGGCTTATGGTAGTAAAGGCAGAAAGTCAAAAAAAACAGTGTGCTGGATACGTCAAAAAAAGGCAAGTGGCGGTAGCTGATGCGTTGTTTTGACGGTTGGTGCATATTTTTTGGTCATTGAAGTAAGCAAAGCGCCGTGTTGGGATCCACAGCCGTAAAATTGTGCGCAAGTTTCCAAAGACAATCTTGTCTTTTTCTGGCTTGTTTCGCCTGCCTGCCAAACAAAACCCACGGCTTATGGTGTTGAGGTATGTCTAGTTCGGGAAAGCGAAAAAGGAGGTGGGTGGAAACGTGGGGGTTGATGTAGACGGCGGTTGGTGGAACTAAGTGATTTGGTTGGGAGATGGTGCTGTTGTGCACGGGTTTAAACTAAAGCATAAAAAAGGAAAGTGGTGGTAGCTAGTGCCGGTTGCGGAATATTGTGCATATTTTTGGTTCTTTGAAAGGCGCCGTGTTGGGGTACGCAGCCGTAAGATGCGGAAGTGTGCAAAGACAATTTTGTTCTTTTCGTGGTAGGTTGTCTCGCTCTCTGCTTCCATCCAGGAACGAATGTATACCAGATTACCCCTTTGCGATTTGTCGGATTAAAATTTGTATTTTTTTTTGTTTCAAAAAACCAATATATGCATTGTCCATTTCATTCCATACTTCCACCTTTTGTTTCCTCCTCCCACACCCCTCTCTCTGCGTATCCCACCCAGTATCAACAACATCTCCTCCGTCCGTTCCTTCTTTTCTCCCCCCCTTTTTTTCACTCTCCACCTGTTTCATCC